ATACCCATGCACGTACAAAATGGCGGCCGCATGCGCGAACCGCATCCCCTGCGGTTTCCCGCGCTCACACAAAATGGCGGCCGCATGCTCGAACGGCAATCGCGCAATCCCCGTGCACCCGCATATCTCCGCGGTTCTCCGCGCACTTGCATCCCAGTATACTCCTTTGGGAATCACAACAGACAATCCATATCCCATGTTTACACCCTCCGACGCCTCTGCGCGTCGCCGCAGTTCGTCGCACGTATCGGCCGTAGCGGGGGAAATTTTAACCAGTATCTCTCCAAGACTCGCGTTGCAGCAATCAGCTGTCCCAACCGAGCTGAGAAGACACAAGAACACCTCTCTCCAGGACTCGCATTGCAGCAATCAGTTGTACCAACCGAGCTGAGAGAGCAACTCACCACAAGCTCCCTGAGCCTCTGACTCACTGTCTCAGACACGCCACGGAGCGTCTCAATCTCCGGGCTGTCAGGTCAAGCCGTCAGCCATAGCATGACGGGACCACAACTCTCGTGTTAGACACGCAACACTCACTGGGCCATCCTGGTCAGGATTTGCACCCCAAGATATTCGACAGCCAGCACCACAATTCCAAATCACTGGCAGCATGTCACCATCGCAATTTAAATGCTCCATACCAATGACGGCAGAGCCAAAACCCAAGGCAGTCACCCCCCACACAATCTAACACCATCACAACACATACAATTTGAATTAGGATCCCCCACTGAATTGATCCAATGTCGAACAGGCACGCACAATTTGTGACGATCCCGAATACCCAATGGTCACAACAATACACCTCACATCCCGTATCCGTACAGAGAGACAGTCTATGCAGTACGTACAGTCCGCACATCGCGATCTCGAGAAAAGCCCCATACAATCAACACATCTTCTTAGTTTTTTCGGTAAAGTCACGTTGAAGGGAAACAACAAAGATGAGCATTTTGAATTATATAAATTAAAAAAGAGGAATGATATTGTAGTCCTCTCAGCTGACAAAGGCAATGCTACTGTCATCATGGATAAAATAGAATACAACAACAAAATTAAAGAATTACTCGACAATGGTAGTTATACAAAAATAAAAAGAGATCGCACCAACAGCCTCGTCACACAAACCAACATAATAATTTCTGATTCAACCGCATTAATTGATCAATCTAAACAGTTTTCGTTGAAACCTTCTGCTGCCAGGCCACCAAGATTATACGGCTTACCAAAAATACATAAAGTAGATACACCCCTTCGTCCCATAGTCTCTACTATCGGCTCCCCCACCTACAAACTAGCTCGTTTTTTGTCTGAAATCCTGCGTCCTTTCACTGAAAAGACCACCTCTGCGGTACAAAATTCTACTCACCTGGTATCGACAATCAAGGGTATTTCCCTGTCCCCAGACGACCTGCTTGTCAGTTTTGATGTAGTTTCCTTATTCACCAAGGTTCCTGTACCTGACACCATTGCAATCATTGAAGACTTGGTTCATCAAGGACTAAACACTGAGGTACCCCCCCTGGTGAGACACTGTTTAACCAATACATACTTCACTTGGAATGGAACTTTCTACAAACAAACTGAGGGCACCCCAATAGGCTCCCCCCTTTCTCCAGTTATAGCTAACATTTTCATGGAGAAATTTGAGACTGACGCCATCCAGACTGCCACTCTGCGCCCAACCTTATGGAAGAGGTACGTGGATGACACTTTTGTCATCTGGCCACATGGCCGGCCTGCTCTAGACCAATTCTTCGACCACATCAATTCCATACACCCAGCCATCAGATTTACCATGGAAGTCGAAATAGATGGCAAGATACCTTTTTTGGATGTCCTAATTAAAAAGAGACCTGATGGTTCAATGAGCCACTCTGTCTACAGGAAAGCTACCCATACGGATGCTTATCTGAAACCGGATTCCCACCACCATCCATCACAGAAGAATTCTCTCATCAAGACTCTGTATCATAGAGCCCAATGCATATCCGACCAGGAACACATAAGCAGTGAACTCAAGCACGTACACCAAGCTCTTAGGGCTAATGGTTACTCCGACTATACAATCCGCAAAGCTATCACTCAAACCATGAAGAAGAACCCTCTTGAGGAGCCTTTCAAAACCATCACTTTACCCTACATTGCGGGGATCACAAAAAAGATCTCCAAAATCTTGAATAAACACAAGATCCAGGTCCGTTTCAACACATTACATAAAATCCGTGATCTGGTTCCGTCTGTAAAAGATGTGATTCCGGACATACAATACCCTGGTGTCTACAAACTAAGTTGCCTCTGTGGTAGTAGTTACATTGGAGAAACCAAACGCCATGTCTCGGACCGCATTCGTGAACACAAAGCAGACCTTAAACACGGTAGGACCAACACCTCGGCCGTGGCAGATCATTGTTCTAATTCAGTAGGCTCACATGCCATTGACTTTTCCAAGACAGAGGTTCTTTGTAAGTCATCTGGCTTCCATTAGAGATTCGTTCATGAGGCTATCCACATATACAAGCACAGAGACAATTTCAACCGAGAAGATGGATTCTATCTTAGCAATCATTGGAAAGATTTGATAAACCATTTCAGGTCTTAATTGATTGTTCACGCTTACAGTGGCTTTCAGACAGCATACATTATATATATAAAAAAATTTCGTCTCCCCCCTCCTCTTTTCAGAATATAGATGGACTAGTCCTAAATAAACTGCCAAATTGTTGCGCGTGGCGCTAACGTTTTTTTATAAATAAATAAATGCGCCGTTTAAAAATACATTTATGCAAACCAACACACCTGAAGATGACCGTTTGAGTTATGGTCGAAATGTCGTGAGAATTTGTAATTGTTTTGTATATATTTTATTATTTTGTTGTTTCCCTTCAACGTGACTTTACCGAAAAAACTAAGAATATGAATTACTGCAGTCACGAAAGCTTTAAATCAAAATTTAATCAACACATCGTTAACAAATGTGGCACATCGCAATCACAACAACAAAAATAAACCGATGTCACACTGCGACCCAATAACACGGCAACCCACGGGACAATAAAGGGCCTCGGGACACTCGACACAACCGAATTAATCATTAACAGCCCCATCAAGATAATGATCCCGACAACGTAATTAACAACACTGTTACAAAGCAGACACCTGCATGGGCACCGCATCAATCTGCCACGCACACAACCGGACTAACACGCTCCGCAACCCAGCGAGTAAAAAAACATGAAATCGCAACCCGGCGCACGCAAGATGGGTGAGGTGTGTTTTTAGGGCCGGGTGCATTGTGTCACGACTCACCTTAGAGGTTATGAGGAACGGAGGATGGCAGGGTGGAACTTGAAGAATCTTGGATGGTGAGCACGGCATCCTCTTGCGACAGGACGCCACCAAGACGGCCGAAGATATCCCTCCACAGGTGTTGAAAATGGCGGGAACGGCGTTGTGGCGGGAAGCGCGTCCCGACCGGCCGCCAAGATGGTGGCCGCGCGTGCACGGTGCGCGCGCGAATTTCCCGCCCAGGCAACTAGCAGCAGCGGCGGCGTCCTCTCTCCTCCAGCTCCGGCGCTCTCTATCTCGATGGCGGCGAAACAGCGATGTGATGTGCGTCCTGCTGCCCCGCCTGCAGCGCCATCTCCCTCCTTCACCGATGCTGCAGAACCCCGGGGCTGCCCCGTAGATGATCTTCCTGCCTCCTCGTCATGTGAAAGCGACCAGGTAAGTTGTAGTAATCGTGCGCATATTATACTGACTAGGATAACACCTAACGTTAGCCACTTCTGACAACAAATGTAGTGGATTCGAATTAGGTGCACACACAACTTCTTGGGAGGCAACACTTATTTATTTAATGAACACAACAGTTAACTCTTACATTACGCATAGGGTGGTGACCACCGACTTACTCTAGCTAACACACACTTCTCAGATACTCTAGGGAGGTACAGCCTCCTGTCTTGGCGAGACTTACTTACACGTCTACCGCTATCCTAGAGTCCTCCGGCTGGGACCTACACACGGATCTCTTCTTGGCGTCTTCACGATGCATCTTCATTCTTGATAGGGGCAGCCTCGAACCTCGTGAGGAGGCTGCTTATATGGGCCTCGGCATGCCCGGGCCCCGCCCCGGTCACGCCTCCCTTTGAGAACCCTCTCGAAGCCCCCCTGCTGTCCACGTGCCCCTCGAGGTGCCCCCTAGGCCCCCGGCCCCCACTGGGGTCCGGTCACGTGTCCAGCCGGGGTCACAGAGAGTGCCACGACCTCGCACCACCCTCGTGGCCTCCCGAGTCCAGAACCGGCCCTGACGTCATTCTCGCCTCCAGCCGGGATGACGTCGTGTGTGTGTAGACCCGCGTGGTCGTGACGCTCCCTCACATAGTGACGTCACACGTGTGCGTGTATACACAGTAGTGATGCTACCATCACTACATAAGTATTAACATTTTTTAGAAGCACCCTGAATAGAGGCATAGAGGACAGCTTTCCATCGGTGAAAAAGAGCTTCATAGCTCATTGAATTTTGTTTGTTCATTCGCTTCTCAATCCGCTTGTCCTGGTGAGGGTCGGGGCTTACAGCATGTTGAGTAGGGTGGTCCAGACCTGCCTTTCCCTGGCGACGGACTCTAGCTCTTCCTGGGGAATTCCCAGGCGTTTCCAGGCCAGCCGAGCGACATCGTCCGTCCAGCGTGTTCTGTGCCGGCCCTGGGACCTTTGCCCAGTGGGACGTCCTGCTGCCCGGTCGAGTTCCAGGGGGAGTCTATCGGGGGGCATCCTTACATTGTTTTCATGGCTTTATTTTGGTGATTTCAAAGTTTTTTGGTTTAGGCCATGTTTGTTTGCTGTAGTACGGAGTTAGACTGATGGCTTTAATCTAAGTTGTCTTGTTGTTTGACTTGCATCCCACTGGGATTTTTGCACACAGCGTTGGTATACGGTGCTTTTTCTGGAAGTTTTTGCTGTTTTTTTCCTGGATTTTTATGTTTGCACGTAGTCACTTTAAGGTGTTTTCTTGTTCATGTTTTAGTTTTTTGTTTGTTGCGGTTGCACCCGATTCAAGAGCCGGGCTATACCAAATAAATGAAACTGAAGGTGCCTGAACCACCTCAACTGGCTCCTCTTGATCCGGAGGATCAGCGGCTCAACTCTGAGGCTCTCCCAGATTACTGAGCTCCTCACCTGATCACGGAGAGCGAGGCCGGCAACCCTGCGGAGAAACGTCATTTCGGCCCCTTGTACCAGTGATCTCATCCTCTCGGTCATTACCCAAAGCTCATGACCATAGGTGAGGGTGGGAATGTAGATCGACCTGTAAACCGAGAGCTTTGTTCGAGAACTCAGCTCCTGCTTCACTACTACAGTGGCCACAACACTGCAGATGCCTTACCGATCCACCGGCCGATCTCCCGCTCCCACTTACCATCACTCATGAAAGAGACCCCGAGGTACTTAAACTTCTGCATGAAGGGCAGCTGTTCCCCCCTCACCTGGAGAGAACAAATCCACTGTCTCCCGGGAGTGAACAATGACCTCAGATTTGGAGGTGCTGATCCTTATCCCAGCCGCTTCATGTTCGGCATCAAACCGTTCAAGTGCACACTGGAGATCACGGACTGACGAGGCAAATAGGACAACTTCATCTGCAAAAAGCAGCAACGCCACCTCCATGCCCCCATACTGGATACTCTCCATACCTCGGCTGCGCCTTGATATCCTGTCCATGAAAATCACAAACAGGAGACAAGACACACCCTTGGCAGAGTCCAACACCAACAGTGAAGGACTTTGATTTAACAGCAAGAATACGAACGCAGCTCTCACTCCGGGAATAGAGGGACTGGATAGCGCACAAAAGCGGCACCGGTACATCATTCTCTCGCAGCACCTCCCAAGGCATTGCGGGGAACACGGTGATATGCCTTCTCCAAGTCTAAAAAGCAGAGGGAGACTGGAGGAGCATAGTCCCATGACCCCTCAAATATCTGTGAGAGGTAAAAAGAGCTGGTCCATTTTTCCAAGACCATGACGGAATCTGCATTGTTCCTCCTGAACCTGCGGCTCGACCACCGGGCGGAGCCTCCTCTCCTGCACTCTGGCACAGGCTTTACCTGGGATGCTGAGTGTGATAACTTTGTAATTGGAGCAAATCCTCTGGTCCTTTCTTTAAAAAATGGGAACTACAACCCCAGTTTGCCAGTCCAGAGGTACGGTACCTGCCTTCTATGAAGAGTCGTGTTAACCACGATACTCCGATACTGTCCAGCGCTTTCAAAAACTCTGGGCGAATCTCGTCCACCCCAGCAGCTTTGCCGCCACAAAGGCCCTTGACCGTCACGGCGACTTCAGTGGCCGCGATGGATCCGACCCCCCCAGCTCTTTCAAAGGCTGCCTCCTGAAAGGAGGTCATGTCCACCGGGTTGAGGAGCTCTGCAAAGTGTTCCTTCCACCTCTCGACTATCTCCTTAGTTGAGGTCAATGACACACCACCCTTACTGAAAACAGCCTGGGCCACATCCCGTTGACCCCTCCTAAGGCATCGAAGTTTGCCAGAACATCTTTGAGGCTGTCCGATATTCTCTCTCCGTGGCCTATCCAAACTCCTCCCATGCCCGGGCTTTCGCTTCAGTGACTGCTGCAGCTGCCACCCTCCTAGCAATCCGGTACCTCTCAATCAAGTCATGAGACCTTTTTCCGAGAATAGCTCGGAAAGCCTCCTTCTTTCTTCAACCTGACAGCTTCCCTCATCACTTGATGTCCATCAGCGGGTCCTAGGGTTGCCGCCATGACAGGCACCAACTGCCTTCAGGCCATCGACAATGGAGGTCCTGAACATCGCCCACACGGACTCAATGTCCACGACCTCCCCTGGAGTGCAGGATAACTTTTCCCGGAGGTGGAAGTTGAAATCTTTCTGCACTGGGTCTTCTGCAAGATGTTCTCAGAAGACCCTAACTATTCATTTGGGCCTTCCACGTCTATCTGGTCGGTGCCCCAAGCATCAAATCCAACTTACCACCAGGTGGTGATCAGATAACAGATCTGCCGCTCTCTTCACCCGAGTGTCCAGAACATACAGCCTTAGGTCCGATGATACAACTATAAAGTCAATCATTGACCTTCGGCCCAAGATGATCTGGTACCAAATACACTCATGAGCATCCTTGTGTTCGAACATGGTGTTTGTTTCCTTGTAAAAGGTTTCAGTTTGGTGTATTCATATCTTAACACCTGTTCAGTTGCCAGAAAAAGGAGAAACCCTATTCTCATACTCATGGTGTTTGTTATTGACATTCAGTGACTAGTGCAGAATTCCAACAACATCGCACCGTATGGGTTCAGATCAGGGCAGCCATTCTCCCAATCACGCCTCTCCAGGTATCCCCATCGTTTCCCACGTGGGCATTGAGGTGGCCCAGTAAGACTGTGGAGTCGGTAGGCGACACTCTGTCAAGCACTGCACCCACCATCTTCAAGAAGGCCGAATACTCTGAACCAATATTTGGTGCACAAGCAGACAGTCAGTTTTCCTATCTGAGATCCTAAGTCTCATTGAGGTGACCCTCTCACCCACTGAGACAAACTCCAACTGAACAGCACCCAGCTGAGTGCTTGTGAGTACCCCCACACCCACCCGTGGCCTCCCACCAGAGGATACTCCGGAATAGGAGAGAGACCACCTCCGATCGACAAGTTTGGTTCCATTGCCAATGCTGTGTGTGGAGGTGAGGCCGACAATATCTAGTCAGTACATTTCCACCTCCTCCAACAGCTCTGGCTCCATCCTCCCCAGTGACATTGACGTCCCACGTCCGAATAGCCAGAGTCCATCGCCAAGGTCCAGTCCGTAAATAAAGATTCTGATTCCGAATGTGTTTTCTGCCTACACACATCGCGTCTGTAAATGACAGATCCATGTTTGGAGAAACTCTACTCAGTTAATTCCACCACGAGTGTCTTCTGGTGATTCTAGAGATATATATAATTTGACCATAATCCCCACTCCTCGTCTCACATCAAGTGCGAGGACATCTAGCGAATTTCCAGACCACGCGGGTTTGTACCCGTGTCACTGTCCTCCTGCTCCTGCCTAATGTTTGATGACGTTGCCTTCTGATCCTTGTGAGACCTCTCGTGCCGACGCAGGCTGTCCAGCTCCGTGAACACCTCGCCGCACTCTGAACACAGCAGTGGCTTCCGCTCCTTGTGACACCTCTCGTGCTGACGCAGGCTGTCCAGCTCCGTGAACGCCTCGCCGCACTCTGAACACAGCAGTGGCTTCTGGTCCTTGTGGGATATCTCGTGCTGATGCAGGCTGTCCAGCTCCGTGAACACCTCGCCGCACTCTGAACACAGCAGTGGCTTCTGGTCCTTGTGGGATATCTCGTGCTGATGCAGGCTGTCCAGCTCTGTGAACTCCTCGCCGCACTCTGAACACAGCAGTGGCTTCTGTTCCTTGTGACACCTCTCGTGCTGACGCAGGCTGTCTAGCTCCAATAAGTCCTCGCCGCACTCAGAGCACGCATGCGGCGCGTCGTTGGCATGCGTCTTCTCGTGGGTACGGAGGGCGCTCAACCTTGTGTACGACCTCTCGCATTGCTTGCACTTGTAGCCTTTCTTCTTACGAAGGTGAACCCTCTGGTGGCTGCGCAGGTCCTTGGCATGTGTGAACGTCTTGTCACACACCGTGCACATGTACGGCCGCTCGTCGGCGTGCGTCATCTCGTGGCGCTCAAGGAACCCCAGGTTGGCGAACACCTTGCCACACGCATCGCACTCGAACGGCTTCTTGCCGTTGTGCACCGCCCGGTGGCTCTGAACACTCTGCAGGGTGGCGAACACCTTGGTGCACACGGGGCACTTGTAGGTCTTCTCGGAGGTGTGCGACTTCTCGTGCGTTCTGAGGGTGCCCAAGTGCGCGAAAACCTTGCCGCACGTAGCGCACTTGTAGGGCTTCTCGCCCGTGTGGATCCTCTCGTGGTTGCTGAGCGTGCGCCGGCAGTAGGTGCTGTAGGAGCACCACCCGCACTGGAAGTACTCCACCTCGGTCTGCCGCCCGTGCTGCTTCATGTGGTCCTGCAGCGCCGCGTGGCTGATGAGCACCCACTTGCACAGCGAGCACTGCAGCAGCTTCCCCTCATCCGACATCGCGCCCTGCAAGTGAGGGGGTGGGGGATGGGGGTACAAGCACACGCGTGTCGACGTGTGTACGTTGAACTTATTTATCACCGTACGTAGCGTATAGTGTATAGTTGGGCCATGTAGCCCGCATGCCCAGCCACCGCATCCTTAAACAGCTTTTGTTTGGCCGGATAGAGGCGTCTAAATGGGCGTGGCACGGGCTAGAGAAGAGATGGAGTGATGTGGTACAGGAGGATGTGGAGCTGAGTGGACTTGCCGATGACCGGTACCAGCGGTGTCAAGATCGGCCTCTGTGGAGGAGGCTCGTGAAGGACGCTGCTGGGCAGTTGGAGACAGTCGCCCTCCAACAACAACGGAGGGCAGAGTGATGCTCACAACAACGAGCGGAGCACCGGGCGGCTAAAATGGCGGTTGTTGAAAATAGTGGTATGTATAGCGTAGTATAGTGTACAGTAGTGTAGCAATGTATATTGTAAGTGCAGTATATAGTGTAGTGTATTGAATAATGTAGTGCATAGTGTAGTAGTGGTGTTACGTCTAGTAGTATAGCGTATTGTATAGTAATAGTAGTGTATGTTGTAAGTGTAGTAAATAGTGTAGTGTATAGTAGTGTAGTATGTAGCATTGTAGTATACAGTGTACCATATAGTAGTGTATAGTTGTGTAGTGTATAATAGTAGTGTGTGTGTATAGTGTAAGTCTAGAGTAGGGTAGTAGTGCATATTGTAAGTGTAGTATATAGTGTAGTGTTTTCTGAATAGTGTCTTGTGTAGTAGTATAGTGCAGTGTATAGTGTAGTAGTGGTGTGTATAGTGTAGTGTATAATGTACTGAATAGTGTAGCGTATAGTAGTGTAGTGCCATGATAATATATGCATTGCTGTATGTTTTTCATCACTTTGAAACTGGCAAAAAGGTCCCTTGGATATAACACACGAACAGGAGGTGTTCCGATTTGCAATGAAACTCAACTTTTAAAAAATGTTACCAGGTAAGGCCCCACTGAGCGATGTAGCTATTTTTCAGAAGCGACCTGGCCATCACAAATTATAGCTCAACGAAGCGGCTTATCACCACGTGGAAATGTTATAGCAGCAGCCAATTGAACCTTATGGCGGTACCCCGGGGTAGTACCATAGTTCCCCGGCTCTCGCATAATGTCCGTGATGCAGTCATTTTTAGTCTGTTGATGGCGGGCGATGCGGCAGTCGACTCATCTGGACAAGCTATGCACGATGCACCACCACCACCACCACTACGGTGCATTCGAGCGTTCAGGGTTACAGCGCAATCATCCTCGCTGCGTTTCGACATCGCGGAGTGGCACCGATCTCGGATTTATTGGTACCCCAGTCGCGGAGTGAAGTACACCCCTGGAAAAAATAGTGTCCCATAAAGAAAACATTTAATTGTCTCGGCCCATTTTGTTTTATTTGGTACCCCGGGGTACTGCCATAAGGATCAATTAAACGCGTGGTGATGCCGATTCTAAATGTGCAGGGAAAAAGCGGAGGACCCGGAGACAAATCCACGCGACCACTGAGAGACGCAGACTCCAAATAGACAGCAGCAGGCATCGTCAGGGTCGGGATAGAACCTACGACCTCCTGCGTACCAGGCGAGGTAGTTAACATTTCCTAGCCACCGTGGTGATGATGATGATGAGACGCAGACTCCAAATATACAGCAGCAGGCGTCGTCAGGGTCAGGGGTTGGGATAGACCCACGCCCCCTGCACACCAGGCGAGAGAGTTAACATCTCCTAGCCACCACGGCGCCTTCTTCTATAAAGAAAGGCCCACTGCCCAAAACGTCGGCCGTTTCCCCCCCTCGTCAAGGCTCCACACACGCGCACGCTGCTGCTGCTGCCTTTGTTGCACATCTACCCAACCCCAGCAGCATCACCCAGCTATCACCCGCTCCATGGCCATGAATCCACTGCTGGATGACAGCCTGCTGTTAGGCCGTGTCGTCGGAGGCGGTCGTCCCGGGTATACGGGCCTAGTTCAGGGCACCACAGGCACTCTTAACGATGTTGCTACATCCGTGGCCGGCTGCGTCTGCTTGTTGCAGCAACAGCAGCAGCATTATCACCCGGTCAATAGTAGCCATCAATCCACTGCTGGATGACGGCCTGCTGTTAGGCCGTGTCAATAGGTGGTGGTGGTATTTGACTAAACTTCACCCCCCACACACGCCGGTCGTAAAGCTCGGGTGATGCCAAGCCCCGAGTTTACCGCACAGCAGCCACTCGAGGCCGCTCTCCTCATCACCATCCTCACCATCATCCTCACCACCATCATCCTCATCACCATAATTATCACCATGATCATCACCCTCATCATCACCATCATCATCATCATCGTCGTTGTTGTTGTTTTCCTCGCACTTTCTGTTTATAGGTGGCGTTGTGTCGCCACTTCGGAAGGGTTTAGCCATCAATCGATTACATTTTTGGTCCAAGTTTTGGGCAACTGAGAAAATGGGAGATGTTGCTTGGCACAAAGGGCAGCAGTTTGGGGCGTTTGGATCGATTCGATTTTGGTAATCGACTAGCATGGAGCAGCAGTAACCTGAACGGAGTTGAGCCACTTTTGTGCGAGTTGCCCGGGTCAGGATTTTTCGTCGTCTGCTATGGGTGGGGGCCAACCCCCTAGCACAACATTGGGGGCTTGTGCAGGCGTTCAAGCAGTGCATGGTGGCAGCGGTGTGTTGTATATATAGGCCTTTTTCCAAAAAATAATATTAAAAATAATTCTGCCTCCCACAAGCACCAAGTATCTGGAGGTCGTAAAAGGTCATTAAATAATAAACTCCGGGGCAAAGGGAGGTTAACGACGATCTGCAAAATCTCCAGATTGCCAAAGGACCGCATGCCATGACCTGCTTGGCGCTTTGGACAGTTCACAAACAAATATCCAGAATCACAGGCATGGACACAGAGCACAGGGCAAACGGACATTATAACTGATATATTTTTTTTGTACGGAAAAAGCTTAAGCTTGGCTATAAGAATAAGTCGACATGATAGACTGCAGTCTATATTAGTGGCTTTATTATTATTTATTTTATTTCACCCTTATTCAACTCATATATTGTTTCTTATTGTACATTTCTATCTATGTAACTTCACCAAGAGAACCAAGGAATGTGAATTCTGGCAGTCAAGAAAGTGAGGGCTTGGTTATATATCCAGCCTCGGGATATCAAAATATAACTCGAGAATAAAACACCGATCCCTAGTGACACAGACTTATAACAAAGCTTGGCAAGCCCTCGGAATACCGGAGGTAACATCTAATGACATTACAAATCTTGGTTAAACATAAACCAAATAATAATCACAAGAGATTAGACATAGGGTAACTCAAAGGAGATACTAGAAAATAGGTCAAACACACAAGACCAGATAATATGTATTCCATGGAATCAGAGCCTCCCCGGCCGCCTTTGTCTTCCAACAATTGACACAAACACATGGTAGCCATAAATACTATGAAAGGTGTGTCCCCTCCCTTAGCAGACACCACGAAGAGAGGGGTTGGGAGTGCAAACAAACATCAATTTTGATTTAAAGCTTTCGTGACTGCAGTAATTCATATTCTTAGCTCTTTCGGTAAAGTCATGTTGAAGGGAAACAATAAAATAATAAAATATATAAAACAATACAAATTCTCACGACGTTTCGACCATAACACAAACGGTCGTCATTAGGTGTGAAAAACCAATGGCAAAAAACATTTGAAAGAAGTGTCGGTTTGCATTAATTAATTAATTTATAAACGGTGTATTTATTTATAAAAAACGTCAGCACCACTCGCAGCGATTTGGCAGTTTATTTAGAAGGACGAGTCCATCTGTGTTCTGAAAAGAGGAGGGGGCAGACGAAAAATGAATGTATGCTGTCTGAAAGCCATCGTAAGCGTGAACAATCAATTAAGACCTGAAATGGTTTATCAAATCCTTCCAATGATTGCTAAGCCAGAATCCATCTTCTCGGTTGAAATTGTCTCTGTGCTTGATGACGACCGTTTGTGTTATGGTCGAAACGTCGTGAGAATTTGTATTTTTTTATATATATTTTATTGTTTCCCTTCAACGTGACTTTACCGAAAGAGCTAAGAATATAAACATCAATTTGATGTAAAGCAGCCCGTCCGGGGTCACCAAGGGAAGAGGGGGGGGGGGGCAGCCAAGCCGCTGTGGCCACGGGAGGACGGTGACAGAGGGCATCTGTTTTTTTTCTCTCTCGCAAGAGACGCGGAGAGAGGAGGGAGAATTTCACATTTAAGCTCGGCTAGGGACAGCTCTGCAAGGAGGAGTGCTGTGAACGACAGTCTTGCAAAGGGGCAGGCTGGGTCCGGGGCATGGCCTCGAGATCAACCATGGGTGTCGTGTCTCACAGAGAGAAGGGACGATGTGTTGTTAAGAGCTGAGTTCGGCATGAACCGACAGAATATCGCTGAAAGTTTTATTCTACATTCATTCTGATGTTTTAAGTCGCTTTGCGGAATCGAGGATTGCGATAAGCTGTATCGTACTAAGCTATCAGAGTTGTGTAAGAGGTGTGCAAATACAATTTTCAAGTTTTGAGAGTGAGTGATCCAGCCAGCGACGAGCAGCTCACAGCAAGAGCCCTCCTGGAAGAAGGGTGAAGAGCACGAAAGTTGAGCAACGACAAAGCGCAGCCCTGAAGGGCGGGTGTCCGTGTGAAACTGGCAGCTGCACGATCAAGGAGAGAGCAAGAGAAATGAGAGAGAAAGAGTGCCGAGCGACGACAAGCAATCAACCTGGAGAAAGGGCGGAAAGCGCCAAGCATCGACCAAGCCAGCATCACAGAGAACCAGCTCCACCGAGCAAGGGTGTCTGCCACCAGCGAACGAGCTGCACACGCAATCGAGCATCGCCAGAGAGAGAGAGGGAGCAAGAGAGAGCGCGCAGCAGCGCCACCAGCGCCACCAAGCGAAGGGTGTCAGCTGCCAGCGGACAAGCGTAGTGCCGACTCGGCTCATC